CCGGGGGGGGGGGGGTGCACCCCCCTAGCCCTGACCAGAGGTGGTGCAGGGGGGGGTGCTATTTTTCATGATAAAGCAAAAATTATTAGAGGCAAAATGAGATACAGTAATTTGAGTAATAACATGACGATAAGCGAACTGTGAACAACAATTACAATTCAAATACAGTAGTCAAGCAAGACTTTGCAGTAGTGAAGCAAGTTGATGGGCGGGCGGCACACATGACCGACACAACTCGGCACCAGATCATGCCCCCCCCTACCAGATTATGCTGGATCCATCCCTGGACTTAGGACACATTAAAAACACGGTTTAATAATATATAGAGGATATTACACAGCGGCACAAAGATGACTTTATCTTCGAGTGGTGAAAACAATATTTTACAAACGAGCGCAGCAAGTGAGTAAAATATTGTTTTTAACACAAGAAGATAAAAGTCATATCTTCAAGCCACCGTGTAATGTTCTGTTTATTATATAGTCCCAAGCAAAAATTGTGAAACTTCACACTCAAAAGCAAATTGGAAAAAGTCATGTGATCGATATCTTCACTAATGAAGATATGGAAAATATCTCACTGTGTATTTTTCAGTATCTCACTCTCTACTATATTATATATAATAAAAAACAGTAAAACACCAAGCCTGCATCTGCTGATCTGCATGCTGATGAGCTAAATATTTATTATTTGGGACATAAAACTGCACCTTTGACCTTTATGACTTACTATTTCTTTAGGAATACATTATATAAAATGTTCTAGACTATCATTGTCGTAGAAGGTGTAAAAGTGTGATCACTTACTTCGTCTGTGTCCCTCAAAGGAATCTCCACAGAAGTCGCCATCTTGCTAAAATCTTGCTTTCTTTCGTCTGTCTGTTATCCTGCATTATCCTTGCATTATCCTTGCATTATCCACCATTATCTCATCAGACAAAACAAAAGTCCAACAGAGGAAGCACAGCGAGCCATATATATTTCATACGTAATTCTACCCCCCTGCTTTCGTAATTCACATGGAGTGCGTGCAGTTTCAGTGATGGAATCATTGCGAGACCTTGCGAATCATGGCGTCGCAGCGGTATCTCCAACTACGAGTTAGGCCAATGAAAATTGATATCATGTTTCTCGTCCACAATTTTCAAAAATTTGGAGCGGGATTTTTTCATTTTTCATTTTTCATTATTTTTTGTATTTGAATTCTGCTTGTCAATAATTTCCTTGACCCGGTAAAAAACCCATAAAATCTGAAGTATTAAAAATTGGTGTATATTTTAAAAATTCATTTTAATTTAATACGTCCTACACTACAGTCTACAGTACAGTATATTTCTTTACATACCAGGGCTGACATGAAAAATAGAGGCATTCTGGCGAGTAATATCTTTAGAAAGATACAATTGCGTTGCGCTTGCGGAATGCAGCAATAAGACCTTGATCTGGAGATGAATTTGGAGTTTTTTAAGCCTATTTTTCAAAAATAATGAATAATGAAAAATTTTCGTGCGGCAGATAAATCCCATGCGGGCGGGGACGAGAAACATGATATCAATTTTCATTGGCCTTATCAGGGCCCGCGGAGCGTATTAGAGAGCGGGGGGCTAAAGGGTGAGGTTTAATTAATTTAGAAAGTTTCATTTAGATTTCTATTTTAATAATTTTGGCTGTCAAAAAAAGTGGGGGGGCTAAAGCCCCCCCCCCAGCCCCCCCGTCTCCGCGGTCCCTGCTTATTATTAATAAATTAACTTTATTTTGCCATAACTTTTGATTTTGCCCTGAGTTAATTTAGTTTTACCGTGAGTTAACTTTATTTTCCCGCGAGTTTATTTTGTTTTGCCGTTGCAGTTAATTTTATTTACTTTAAGGGCCATGCAAAATTTATTGTACCCCTGGGCCGGAGCAAATCAATTTTGAATGTTAAAAAAAAGCAAGCCCCGCTTAGGTTGGTGTGATAAAAATCTCCAGCCCCACTCGCAACTTTGCTAAAAAAAAGTTGCTGTCCCGCACTGCTGTCAGTAAAGAAAACTTGTGTAGCTGTGCTTACCGTAGAGTTGCTTACCATGTTCAGCTAGAGAAAATTGCTGAAATGTGCGGGAGGTCTGACACTGCGACCCCTGCGGGTCTGAACTTCTTCCAAAGAGAATAAACTGCGCCCTGGCCTCTCACTTGTGATTCACCTTGCAAGACAGAAAAAAACTGATCTTTGTGCCCCGCCCTTCTATGCAGTTGCAAGGCAAAAAAATCTGTGTGCCCCGCTTTTATGCAGCTCAAAAAAAGTATGTTTCCCGTCCCCTTTTGCTCAGGCCCCGTATAAAATAAATTTTGCATGGCTCCTTAACTTGTGGGACGAGGTAGCTCGACCCAAACTCTTCCAAGCTTGGTGGGATTAACGGATCACTTCATTTAGCCAATCAGATTACGAGTTTTTTTTATCGTGATCTGATTGGTTAAAATGAAGGCGGACCAGAAAGTAGACGGGTATCTACAAAATGGCGAAATAGCTGGTATCCTGGCGCGAAACTTTAGAACTTTATAAAATAGTTTAATTAATTTAGGTTTTTAATCTTGTTTCTAAATTTGATATGACATAAAACAGTAGTAAAGATACATTTTTAGATTTTTATAAGTTAGATAAAAAGCACAAAACACACTGCTAACTTTGTTTAGTCGCAATTCAATTGATCGGTAAATTAGAAGATCTGTTTTATATCGAATGGTATTAACGGTAAATTAGAAATAAAATTTTTAAAAAGAAAAGTGCCTCATCAATCCATACTTCCCGACTCTGCTAGCCCGTATCGGTCAAGTCCGTCTCGTGCTAGCCGCTAGAACGCCGTATGTTAACGTTTAAGCTAGATTTCGGCTAAACTCAACGCTATCGTCAGAGGCGGTGAATAGGTGGCTTACCAACCGGTATCGAACAAACGACGGGGGAGAGTGCCGGCGGCCCCCAGACCATTGTGCCTGGCACCCTTTTCGCAAGATCCTATGATCGGTAACTACCACACCACAAGTAACAGTTACAGTTGCCTGGTGTGGTGCAAGTGGGACGCTTTAGCTCGGTGTTTACCAAACCTTTGAAACAAACGCATGCGCGATAAATTGACACTCGGATAACCGTCGCGCATGCGTGGGCATCATCCAATCAGGACGCAGGAAAATTTCGCACTGGTCCCGCGAGTTCGAGACACGTGCGAGACGGCTCAAAAATTTCAAAAAATCAAATTATATTTAAAATATTCAAAACAAATTCAGTGAAAATCTATATTATTCACATGTATTTGCTTGTCGAAGGCTGAAATTTAAAGAGTAGTCCAGCCAAGACGATGAATCGACTGGAAAAGATGAAGGCGAAGTGAAATCTACACCGTCAATTAACCAAGATCGTCGCGCCGCCGTTGGTTTCTACTTTCTGGTACTGATACGAAAGGTACAAAGCTTTTAATATATTTTGTGTTGTTTTGTTTCCTTTTTTGACGATAGTTGATGCGAAATATTCTTGTCTAAAGCTTGCTTTAATCGTCAAAAGAGGAAAGTTCTTAATAATAGCATCATTGTGAAGCAAGAATTTGTCGTATGATCGCCTTGATTTTTTGTTAAATATTTATTGTCTATTATTTAAAAGAGGCAGTCAAGTCCGTTCTGTGCATACGTTCTGGGCAGCCATACATTCAAATGGACGGGACTCGACCGAAATGAAATCTTACGCAAAAAACCACGCAATTGAAACATGTTCTTTTATTATTTGCTGTGTTGGTCATTGGAAAGAGAAGCAAGGAAACCAGGAAGGCCAGAAAGATGCAGGGACAATGGACTTCATTTTGTGCCCCGGGGTTGGCAACAACCGCTTGTTTTTGCAACGCTTAAAATCCAATTCCCCGCATTTCCCGGGTTGGGGGGAGCGGGGATTTACATTGACTGGTGCATTAGTTTGACTTGATTAGTATTTGTATTTATGATTATGAATCCTATATTTAATAATTATTATAAACTTCCTTATAAACCTGTTTCTAAAATCTTGCACATAGCTCATAGTGTATATTCTTGCATACAGAATACACCCTTCTGGAAAGTATTTCACTTTGGCTATAAAGCCTAACGTCAATCACAAAAAGGATGGGCAAGGTGTTGTCAGTACTTTCCGGAACTGTGTTCATTCGTGTTTATATTGTATGCAGCTAGGATATATGAAATGTTGGATAGTAATATACTGTAAAACTTAGAGTATAACCCTCCTCCCCCGGTATAGGTCCCCTGTGTATAAGCCCACTATATTCACTAACACGCAGGCCATTCCAAATATAAGCCCCTCCATGTCTTAAAGCCTGTTGGTTAATAAGCAAAGTGACAGCGATTCCAACAGCTCAGACGAGTAACAATAATTAGATTACAGTATTGTAATGTATAGATTATACACTGTATGTTTGTATATCGATGATTGATCATCACAGCCATGCATACCTGAAGTTTGCAATTGGTATAAAGTCAGCCTGGAAGCACTCTGTACCATGTGCAACATTTCACTCAAATAATGATGCAAATTGCATTACAGGAATTAAACCAGAAAATCAAACCACAGGTAGAAGGTATATATGCACTAAATATTCTTTCCGTACTATGGAATATTAATTGTTCATTCAGTTAGTCACTAAGTTAGCCTATCACTCAATCTGTTCACTGTCTGTCTATCAATCATTCAGATTTTGTTGGTATCTTTCTCGATTCAATAGTTGAAGGGTGTTGTTGATGGAAATTATCGAATGGCAATTTATATACATTTTATTAGACCTAACCAGTACTATGCCAACAAAATCTTAATATTTACCCAATATTTACCCATAACCTAAAACATGGCAGTACCGTATATTTATATATACAGGAGCTTGTGGTTAGAGCTTGACAACTGGCCTGACAGTGTACCTCAGTTAGTCGGTTGGAGCACTGCACCAGAATTGCACGGCGACAGGTTCAATTCCTGCCAAGGACCTAAAGTGACATTTTTCGCAGCTGTTCCGGGTTAGGTCGACTAATAAAATGTATATAAATTTCCACTCGATAATTCCCATCAACAATACCCTTCAGTCAATCATTCAGCCAACCATTTATGACTCGATCTCTTTTCTCTTATTCAGAATATGTGTATCTACTGTAAAGGTGATGATGCAAGACATGGACAGAGGCCTTTGTTTGGAAATCAATAGGGGTGCACCGGAACCAATTTTTAAACTTCTGGCCGGATCCAACTGGAACTGGAAAAAAGTTCCGGCCAGAACTTCCAGCGAGAACCGGAACTGATTTATTAAGCCATTATATATAGTCATACGTTACTTTGTCTACATCATCAAGGAGAGAGCTTGCAAATGTTAGAAGAAAAAGATTGACAAACGTTAAACATTATCATAAAGTGTTAATAGGTAAGTGTACATTTTTCTTATGTAGTCCAATTTTCTTCCTACTGTGAACTTTTGTTAGACACAAAAACGTTTGATATTTCTGTCTCTCTGAAAACGACAAAGTTCCGGTTCCAGCTATGCTTTTTTTATTAGTGCCGGCCGGAACTAGAATTCTGAAAAATCGGGGTTCCGGCTGGAACTAACCAGCCGGATCTGAGTTCCGGTGCACCACTACAAATCATTTTGTTGCCGATATATCTGAGATGATTTATGCTTAACCCAATCACTGCCAGTGCTCTCCCCTCCGGGGTTTAGACAAATTAAGTTGCATTGCACCCCAATGTGCCCTAGCTACTTTATTATTTACTCTATTAAACACCAAATGATTTTATTCGTGAGGGGCATGGGTTAATTTGTTCAGAAATAATGGCAATCCATATCATATTTAAAAATAGGTACGCTAAGCGTACATGTATCTGCTCATGGTGATTGCAATGTTGCAAAGGAGTTCAATCAATAGTCAGTAGCTTTTAAAAATATTAAGAGACTGATGTTTAAATGAATATATTTTTTCTATAAACATTGCAAATATATATTATACACAGTTGACTAGTTAAATGATCGAGGTTAGATTTATACAGGGTTCGTACATGTGAAGAAGAGTCAAATTCAAATCCATGTATCAGCAAATTCAAGGACTAAATACTGAAGAAAAGGGGTTAGAAATCAGTAAAATCTGACGTTAAATTATTCAAAACGCAACTTTAATGAGTTTCGAACAGCTTTGTCAGACAGTTTTTTTAAACATTTGTGGTGTTAAAAAAACATACATATGCATTATATTATTTGAGCAGAATTTGTCTTTGAAAAAATAGAAGATGCGTAGCCAGGTTAAAACATTATTTATCGAAAGCTCGTAGAAATAAATATTAAGTCAGAGAACGGTCAATAAATAATAGAATTTGTCTTGTTTGGCACCAGAACAATCACACACTGAGCAAAACATTTTGGTAAATGTCCTTTGACTCTCAACAAACACTAGACTGCACTGCAAGATATGCTCATTGTGGTATATAAATGATTACGGTTACGCCTTTTTGGCTGAGTTTTGCCTGTGTGTCTCCATACAAGTTTCTGGAAAGTACGTCATTTTGACTATCGAGCCTCGTTTTCGTGTTTGAAACGTGAAGTTTAACTAATGCCACATATACGAAAACGAGGCGGAACTGAAGTATTCTGTGCGTCCTCGTTCCCAAGGCTTCTTCTGTGCTTTTCTGTATTCTGCAACCTCGTCCCCAGGATCTTCCTCGTTATGGCGCCCTGGGGACAAGGTTGTGTATTCTGTGCTTTTCTGTGCTAGCGTTCTCGTATCGACCCCCGACCACGCACTTCATCAAAGTTCATTTACACTTTACTGCAAAATTTACTATTGCTGCTAAAGCTATAACACGAAGGCCCACGTTGGACATTATAATTGTGTTTGAGGATTTCCGTGACCAGATTAGCGTTTCTGACCGGCTGTGTACGTGATTCTAAAATGTGTCGTCCACCGCACTCCGCAGCCTATCAGTCGTCATGTGCTGCTGTAAAAACATTCTCAACTTCATATTTACATTTGTTCTCACTGATAACCTGGGTGTATGTGGGTGTGTCTCTCTCCTCCGCAGAGGCTTTTAAAGAATATGAAATTCGAAGGAATTGAAAGTTGTCTTCATACCAGATACCTTCTAGCGCAATTCCAATTCCTTCGAATTTCACATTCTTTAAAAGCCTCTGCGGAGGAGAGAGTGGGTGTGTGGTTTCTGTGCAGATTTGCATGTGTATATTATAATTTCGCCTCCAGCTTAATAATACATATGAAAAAATCACTCAATTTTCATTGGGTAAAAAGCAGTAATGCAATTTTTTTGAAATGCAATGCGACAAAAGAAGTAAGTGCCAAGCTCCAATAAGCACTATAAAATTTTAATGATGGACAAAATATGTGAAACCATTACATGAAATATTGTATATACTATATGTGAAATAATTACATATGCCATATCTGTCCCAGTTTTTGTTATTAACTATCATAATTTTTGTCAATGCAGCCTTACCGAATACATTAACTACTGTACATTAACCACAATTTTCCTTAAAACAAAGCACCTACATTAAGCCCCCCGTCTACCGACCCCCCTGGCCTTCCAAAGGTTTAATCAAATCCTGAATTATGTTCCTAATATAGAGTCCATTTTAATTTGAAAATTATTTTTTGAATTTGAATGTACAAGTAACTTCGTAAAAGGATTAGTATCCATTGTATTTGTTCAGACAATCTTGGAAAAAATATCTGTAGACTTTTCGACATTTTTCAATAGAAGCAACTATTTACCTTCCCCCGACAAAATGTTGGTTCAGGTAAAATGGATTTGCAACACATATCACCTAAATACCAACATTGGGTGACAAAGTTTGAAAATTTAAGAAGTCTACTAATTTTTTTCCAAGGTTGTATATTTAATGCATTTGTAAAAACATACTTTACTTATTGTTGTGAAGTGTCTGCATTTTTGGTGAAACTCGATCACAACGATTACAAAAGCTTCAAAATAGATGCGCTCGCATAATTATTATGGACATGGGTAACGAAGTTAATGCTCAAATTTCATTAAATTCGTTAGGATGGGAGACACTAAAAGTACAAATAACTAAAGCTAAGGCAAATTATATTAATGTTCAAAATTTTAAATATTGGTCTGGGCCAAAGAGCCTACTGAGACCTTTTTAGCCACAAGAATGATTTAGACTGAGACCTTTTTAGCCACATTATTTAATGGGACAAAAATATGGAACTCAGTGCCTAAAGAAATCAGAGGGATTGGGTCCCATTCTCTATCTGAAAGAAAAATTGCTGCTCATGTTACTAAATAAATAAATATATTTATATATATAATTTTTGTATTGTAAATAGTCCACTATATGTTTTGTTAGTTGTCTATATTGTCAGTTTTGTCAATTGGAACAGTTACATTATTTCTATTTCTTATATACCATAAGAACATTTTTATATAATAACTTTTGAACACACGCCCTTCGTGGAAATCAATATTTTTAATTGACGTAGTTAGCGTGTCAAAATAATTTTTTTCTATCTATCTCTACCAAAAGATTTTCTCTGGGACGCCAGTTTTGTCCTTGCGTCATTTCAGAAAATGCTGGAACGCCGCAAATGCTTCTGTATGGAGCAAATGCTGCCAGGCGTAAAGCAACCTATAAAAAATGTCTAAGTTAAGCATGATAAGCAAATTACTAAACACAAAATGTTTCCGGAATGGCAACTGCTTTGTTTGTGTTTTACTCCCAGCCTCTGCATGTCCTAGGCTCCCCTATATATGCATGTCCTAGGCTCCCATGCAGCCCCTGCATGTCCTAGGCTCCCCTATATGCATGTCCTAGACTCCCATGCAGCCCCCGCATGTCCTAGGCTCCCCTATATGCATGTCCTAGACTCCCATGCAGCCCCTGCATGTCCTAGGCTCCCCTATGTGCATGTCCTAGACTCCCATGCAGCCCCTGCATGTCCTAGGCTCCCCTATATGCATGTCCTAGACTCCCATGCAGCCCCTGCATGTCCTAGGCTCCCCTATATGCATGTCCTAAGCTCCCATGCAGCCCCTGCATGTCCTAGGCTCCCCACATAGGGATGTGCATGTCCTAGACTCCCATGCAGCCCCTGCATGTCCTAGGCTCCCCTATATATGCATGTCCTAGGCTCCCATGCAGACCCTGCATGTCCTAGGCTCCCCCTATATATGCGTTTCCTAGGCTCCCATGCAGCCCCCGCATGTCCTAGGCTCCCCTATATGCATGTCTTAGGCTCCCATGCAGCCCCCGCATGTCCTAGGCTCCCCTATATATGCGTTTCCTAGGCTCCCATGCAGCCCCCGCATGTCCTAGGCTCCCCTATATATGCGTTTCCTAGGCTCCCATGCAGCCCCTGCGTGTCTTAGGCGGACGCGGGAAAGAATTGTCGAGGCAGAAAGATATTTCCCCGACTTGGTTTAAAATTCTTGACAAAATTTCATATTTCTAGCATTTTCGACCATTATCTTACATATTTCAAATGTTACACGTTCCAAATTTGTCCAACTTCAATTCTTCTGGAGGGGGCAGCTCCCCTCCCCTCAAAAAACAATTTGCTTCGTCTAGTTGTCACAACTGATAATGTGTGATAAACTGAGGTCGCGAGTGAACTCGTTATTTTGTTATTAATTAAAACCATCTATATCCGGCATAGATTATTATCCGTATAGCGTATGAATGAATAATCAGTTTTTAATTAAACACAAATCAATGAATGAAGGAAGCAATACGAGCATTATTGTGGTAGACAGTCCTGTGGCCTGCGTGTTTGTTTAACAAACTCACTAACCCCAATTTCATTTCGCTCTTCACTGTGGTAAACTCATAAGAGATCTTCAGCTAGAATGACATTATGTAAAAACAGAATAAAAAGTACATTGAAAGGAGGCTTATATTGTTCTTGTTTAAATCAATTACCGAAAATACTTTGAAAACGATTGCCAACGAAACTTAAAAGTCATTTGAAAGCAATTAAATTTAAACCCCATCAAGTGATACTGCAATGAATAAGTAATTGCTCCCTCGCAAAACTGACCTCATTTTTGCAGCTGCTTGGAATACTTAACGACTATAAAGATTAAAAGCTAATTTAAACAACTCACTTTCTTAGTTTTGCAGCGAGTCAGTACGTGAAGACAGATCAATCAGCTGTGTCAGTGACATGGCATCTTCCAATGACCAAGAATCAAAAACTATGACCAAAGTTTTCTTATGGACAGCTCCGCGTTGTATATCTACTGCATTTGAACGTGCAATTATGAATCTTAAAAACGGAAAGATTTTTCACGAGCCGTATTCAGTTGTCTACTATTTTGGCCCTCAGAGGAAAAGCAGTCGTTACCTGAATGATCCAATTCAACCCAAAGCTGGTTTAAAGGAAGTTAGTGAAGATCTTGCTGCAGAATATGACGAAAAGGATTTTATTTTCTCAAAAGATATGGCTTATTACTTAGGTGGTAATTATGATGTCCTACGCCAGAAAGGTCTCAGCGAATATAAACATTCGTTCTTGATCCGACATCCTAAAAAAGCTGTCACTTCTCTCTATCGAGCTTCGCTGAACGCCAAGAAAACAGGCTGGGATTACTTTGACCCTGACGAAGTAGGTTTTCGTCAATTACACGAGTTATATGAGTTTGTAGTGAAAGAGTTTGATAGCTGTCCAGTTATTGTTGATGCTGATGATCTCCTGGAATCTCCCGAAGAAATGATGGAGAAATATTGTGAAGCAACTGGTTTAGTTTATCAAGAGAACATGACATCGTGGGAGCCAGGAGCGACGATACCGGAGTGGAATATTTGGGATGGATGGCATGATGCTGTCTTGAATAGCACCGGTTTGGTACAGAAAAAGATAAGCCAGTCTAAACCAATGAAGCTTGAAAAGAAAGCAAGTTTCGAAAAAGAAGAAGTTGTTGGTTCCGTCAATGAAAGTTTAACATGTTACGAACGTTTATACGAGAAAAGATTAAGATTAACATCAAAGACTGATTCTAAAACCTAACTGCTTTAAGAACATTAATAAGTGTGATCCAGAAAACTAGTTGAGTCTTTACGACTTTAGATATAATAAGTACTTGTAAGATATAAAACAGTGTAAGGAACTTTCAACATGCAGCGATGTTTTGAGATTTTAAATGACGAGATATAACGGTTATAAGTTCCAAGTTATAAATAAATTTAAAATAATAGCCACGGAAAATAAAGCCTTGTAACAGTTATTCAAATTTATCTGAGTTTGAACTTTGAGATAAAGAACCGAGCAGTCTATGCTATATACGATTATTTAAGAAACTGACAACAATTAAGGCCTGGTTCACACAGGCAATTCTCTCCTGGCAAATGTGACTAAATGAATGACATTACTTCTAAAAGCGACTCTATACTTTTGTGTGCGAGCTCACTCATTTGCATCCGTCAGAAACACAAAATCTCCACCAAAAATTGCTAGTGTGTACCAGGATTAAATGTAATACAAAAACTCGTAATTTAACATTGCGTATAGTTTGTTCACAAAATCACCAATTGTCACATGCTTCATATCTTCTTCATATCTATTTGATATCCAACTCTCGCCCACCTTTGACCGCTAACAAAGGATAAGCCGCGTTACTGCGCATGCACAAATTAGATAAACACCTTAAATCAGCCAAGAGATCAAACGTGATGAACAGAACAAGACACACAAAATCTGGCCTAGAGGCGCCGAAAATTTTTATTTTGTCATACAGCTAGCTGGAATGAGAGGGTGATAAAGGGGGAGTTAGGATCACGTTTTATTTTTGACATGCAAAACATTAACGCCATTTCACGAAAATGACAAAACACGTTTTTAACGGTAAATTGTGTTCTCGATCTCGCGAGGATTTAATGCCTTTCTTGACCCGTTATTTTTACGTTATCGAAACTAATTTCACCATTGAAAGGTCAGTATTCAAAGAGTTGTTCAAAACAAACTACAAGTATTGCTCTTATTCACGTCGCACTTCTCGTCCAGTCTCTACCAGTCTCAAATAAATTCTCGTTTATTAGATAAAATTACCGGTAAACTCGGCTAAGCATGTAAAGCGCGTTCCCTGAAACAAAAATCCATCATTTCCCGATTCACGAGAACAAATATTGCCAATTCACGCCTCACGAAAATACCCATTGTACCACTCACTGATATAAATCTAACTGGAACGCTGCCTTCGACCGGAAATTTGAAGACCAGTCCCAGTCTTTTCAAGCATGCGAATTGAGCGCTCAATCACGTGGTTTCAAGAAAAAGATCGGGCAGTTTATCTGAAGGTGGCGTTCCAGTTATACCACACAATTTTTTTAACACCCTGACCGATATGCCAGAATGTAATGAAAGCGGCCTATCATCATTTAGTCGTATGGTTTGCGAGTCTACATGTTCGTTTCTTCGTATTTCACTCCAATTTCACTCTTAGCCTTCGGTTTCTATTTTACGGTCTAAAACTTGCCGGTCTGCCTATCTAACAATGTGAACTTATGGCCTGGGATAACGTCCAAATCCACATTTTTAACATTTTTTTCCTATTTCTAAACGCTACATAAGCACAGCTTCTTATCTATCTGATTGAAATGAATATAACATGATCTAACTTCCCTTTGTTATCTAATTGTTGACTTCCTATAGCTGCCGCTGACTATGATACCTTTGACTTTTATATCTTCTTTGCTGCCAAAGAATCACCTTTACCAGTAGTGGTCTATAGTGCTGGAATCAAGGCCATTCACAAAGTGCTTGTTTCGGACTAGCTATGCTAATCTAAGCTAATATAGAACAAGAGGTCCAAGACGCATGTACATGTAGAGCCATAGGTGTAGCTGACTTTAACCAATCGAGCTACAGAGTAAGTAAGTAAATAACGTACTGTTTATTTAAACAGACGGTCGACATCATGCACCAAGGACCAAGGTGCTTTTCAGCCGAACTCTGTATGATAAAATATTATTTATATGTATAAAATTTTTATGGTCCTATCTATATACAGTTAAGAAGATAAAAAGTCTAAAATACAAATATTATTGAATAAATCACCCAAGAAGATGATTTCTTAATTGGTTCAGTTTAAAATGAACACATGTTTTGGATAATTTAATCCAGTCATGTTTTTAGGAATAGTGTTGCAATCTTTAGCGAACAGGCAGGTTTCAATTCGATCTTAGCAATCCTCAGGCGCAGATGATGAAAGGATGCCGATCAAGAATAGAGTCTTGTTGTCGCGCTATTTACCCATACACCTTACATTGACATCTGGTTGGGGCTCGACAACTACACTCTGTAGCTCAGTAACTCAGTTGGTTCGAGCGCTGCACCAGAATCGCAGGGCTGCAGGTTCGATTCCTGCCAGAGGGCTGAGGCAGACCTCTCAACTTTGCAGAGAAGTTAAGAGTGAGATTGGGGATGTGGATGACACCTTTGTAAAAGTCCGGGGGTCTGAAATGGCATTTCGTACATTATGAGAGTTCGTGTTTATTAATCGGAAATACATAATGATAACGTCCTTTTAAGACAAGGCACTTTAGTTACAATAACTGTATTTCTGCGACATACAGTAATGAGCTTTAATTTGCCCATGATAATTTACATATCAGGGCTGTAGGAAGCTTTTTTTTATTTATTGGGGG